AAATATTATCTTCTATATTTCGTTTTGTGATGTCTGATAGGGGGGGGGGGCATGGCATTCCTGGATATGACATCACAGTATGTATGACATCTCTATCAATAATAACATTTAAACACATCTGAGATATGGATGAAACTAGTATCTACACACACAATAAATGTTTCATGTATATAGACACAGAGATATAAATTACATGCCTCCGTATTTGTTAACGTTTCTGACATGGGTGCCATACTTACATATCTTCATGTATCTGATTTAGTTCTATCTCTCTCTCCAAATAATCATCCATCGTTCAAGCCACGCCAGTAATCTTCGCACTACGTGATGTGTTTACTACGTACACGTACATCAACTGACACGAAAATTGTCGTTGACTCGTTTCCCTCCCACCCGCGGTTTTCACAGCGGTTCCTACACTGTTTTCAATGTACAGCCTAGAACATAACTCATTACATCTGTCTCAGCGTCGAGAGAAAAACGTCATGAACACGATATCACTGCATTCGATACAGAAAATGGTCACTGTATCTTCAGCTCGCTAACAGATTTACAACCAGGTACATGTACATTCCATTCATTTCAAAACAAAAAAAATAGCAACGCTAGGTTGACCTCTAACCCTTATAGCGCCCTCATAGTTTACTACGTGTTCCAATTTTACCCAAAGCGCGCTGGACGTAAATAACTGACTTGGATGTCATCACACACAAAAAAGGATGTTAAGATATCCAAATTTTAGTCCGGCGTGAATGAGAAATGTACAACAAACTCACCACAGGTACCAAGTAGAATTAATAAATCATCATACACATTTATTTCACCACAAAAATAATAATAAAAACGAGTTGAGGGATAAACTCAGGTCTATAAAATAACGGTTTTTACATGGCAGAAAAACAACAACATGTAAAAGTGTAAGTGACAAATTATAAATAATAAACACATTACAAACATATATAAACGTGAATCATCTGGAAAATACTCGGGACGTTCAACTACAGGAAATATTTGTGTTCAACAATATTAAATCATTCTATAAATAAAACACGCCCTATTTCGCAAGTGAATTTCTTGTACGCTGTCGCGCACATGTTTTAGTTTATTCTTTATAAAAAAAACGATTAATAATACTATGAACAAAACGGGAGAAGACAAATCAGATAAAGTTATAATGGTCTTATTACCCACGAGGGATTGTGAATATTGCATGTCTCCATTAAATGGTCGTAATAAAGCATTATTATCGCAATTGTAGTTTTCCGAACCGAGAGCAAATTTAAAGATGAAGGGAATGTAATTTAGACGATTTACCGCAGTAGATAAAGTCTATGATCATATGCTGTCATTATTCCCTGTGTAATACGTAAGCCATGTCACGTGTTCGACAGTAACTTGTAAAACATTGCTTGAAATTTCGTTTCAACATTTTTTTCGTTGCAAATATGTGAAATACCATCAAATGTTGAGATTGTGGATGAGCAAAGGAAAATTAACTTCAGAATATAGTTTTTTTTTTTTTTTTTTTTTACAATACATTAAATTTTAATCAAATTATAAATGACATCTGCTACATCATTTACATACCCAGTCACCATTACACGTTTTTATTGCACATTAAGTTAACATGATTACAACTATTAAGTATTCATATACATCCAAATACATGTAAGCATGTATTAATAAATTAATATCACATAATAATAAAAATCAGATACACAATTTTATGAACCTCCAAAAACAGCTCTGACAAAGGCATGCACAGTAACTTAAACCATGGAAGGCACTAACGTTTGTACCTTACATGCTTAAGGTAGCGAGACTATTATTTGTGTTGAAAATTACGATTTTCACATTTATTTATTAATTGATGAAATGCACTAAAAACTTTCATGTGATAAAGTCAACATAACATAGAATGTCATGTAAGTTGGTTAAAATGTAGATTTTCTGAAGGGAAGCAAGGCAGCCTCAGTAGTGTTTTCCAAAATCAACAACACAGGTTTAATCTGTGTGCCTAGAAGTTTCAAAAATAAACTCAAGACAAAGCAATGTTAGGATGTGTTATCAGTAGCTATATAACACACAATGAGTGTTTCCAAACATTTGAGTGGTTAGAATATAGTTAATAGCCGTGATTTAATCGATTTTTTTACATCAAGCTAGATTTGTAAACAATTGACACTCACCGGGTTAGTGGGGTTTGTTTGTCATTCAACTTGAAGGTCAGTTCCATTGTAGATATGTTTGTCAGACCACCAGTATTTCCAAAATAAAATAGATGGGACTCTCTGAGCAGAATGTCTACAATTAAAAATCGAACATGCGCTGCGCGACGACCACCGCCCACATGTCATATCTCCATCATAGAAACCGATCTGATTAAAATAAGATCCTAGTTTTGGATTTTATTTTATTTTATTTTTGAAATTTTTTGAAATTTTTTGAAATCTTTTTAAAATTTTGATAATTGCGAAAGCCATCAAGACGATAGTTAAAACATATACCGAATCACAATTATGTGTCAAAAAAAACAAAATAATTAAAACAAATAGTAAAAGTTAAATAAATATATAAAATAAAATACACGCCACCAAGACAACAGTTAAAACATATACCGAATCACAAGTACGTAACAAAAAATACAAAATAATTAAACAAAATAGTAAAAGTAAAATAAATATATAAAATGAAATACACGCCGTACAATACATCAGATTTTAATCAGATTGCATAGAACCCAATGTTGAAAGCGTTCCAATATTGTTGAAATGGCCGTCACAATTCACTAATATTCAAGCACTTTCTCGAAAGAGAGGCTAGTGACTTCAAACTTTTCTAAAAGCTAGCATCATTATATTGGCCAGGAGTACAATGTATCGCAGAATAGATGACTTCTGGGTGTTTTTCTTCATGCGTTATATGTCATCTATCTTAAGTTAACCGCGTAATTCATACCGCATGCGCATTTGCGTTATAAGAAGAAGAGAAGAGAACAAAACGACCGTTGTAATATCCAAATTATATAACTACGTGGAAAAGAAATGTTTTCGGACTCTTCATGAAGTAGAATGGTAAATGGAAAACGTTAAACTGCAGGGAAGATTTGAGTTCAACAATAAATAATCAATAAAACTCACAGTCACGATTTGATTTGTACACAATAAAGATTAATTATTATAAAAGTATAAACGAAACGAGACAAATCAACTAGTAAATAACGCTATGATAGACTTACCCATAAGGGATGATATTGCTCCATGTCTCCATTAAATGCTTACAATAAATCATTAATATCGCAATTGTAGTTTTCCGAACCAAAAGAAAAGCTGCAGGAAGTTTAACTGAGACAATTTACCGCAGTAAGTAAAATGCTGCCCTTAGTGAAGTATTCAAGAAGAATCGGGTTTCTCGTATTTTGTAAATCGTTTCACGTGCTCGGGGTCGAGGTCGATGCGGAAATCTGTCAAGATGTTGTAAAATACAGACGTTTTTTGAAATATCATTCCCACAAGCTTACTTGATATGGTGAACTATTTTCACCATAAAAAACATTATAACAACGTTTGAATACCGACAAAATGGTTGCCATGTTTGACTAAAATTTAATCATTTTGTCGAGAAATAGACGTTTTAAAAGTCAGCATCACTATATTGGCCATGAATACTGTTTATCTCGGAATTGATGAATTCTTGGTTTTCTCATTCAAGAGTAATTTCGCATACAATTTTGTTTTGTCAAAATAGTGAAACCGTTGATACGTACATACAATTTTCAACGCAAGTGCAGTTGCGTTATCCATCTTACTTGATCCCCAAGTATTATATGATTCCGTTCAGGGGATTTTTAACTGATTCGGATTCTGCATTTGACAAAATAAATGAATCTCTTCTTTGTTGTATACGAATTGTGTGTTTGCAGGTAAAAAAAACATGATGATGACGTCATCAGTCATCATAAAGTTCAACCAGAAATGAAATATAATCGTCACGTTTATTTGCTTCGTTGTCCACTTAGATACCACCCGTTGTCGTGGTAACCCGCAGTAGTCGGATGGGCATGTTCCGGTATACTTTGATAGCTCGACGGGAATTGTTGAACTCCGGAACTAGGCACATGTTATATCTGTTATCAGGTCTTTATTGTAGTCTAACGCCTGTCACCCGGACAAATAAATAAAACATGCAGTAAAATCAACTATTTTTTTTTAAATTGCATTTCTTAGTATTAATGAGTGATACAGATAGAGAGGAGATATGCTGCATGAGGTTGTACTACGTGGCCGTCAACCGTACTCATCAAGTCAACACAATTATTATATAATTTTAAAATATTATCTTAGATTGTATTTTTTTAAAGATTCTAAAAAAACGACAAATTATTAATAAATTATATCTTCAATTTTAAAATATTTACATGAGGGATAGATTTGTTCACTTTTTTTCAGTCTCATTTTTCCTGACAGTTTCTATCCTGAGACAGTGAGACGAGCAACGAATACGCGATACGCCTGTGAGTGGGGACAGACATGGGAAATATTTATCGTTCATGTTCAAGAAATGGGTCAATACGTTAGACATTTTTAGCACCCCAGACCTCTTGCATATTGCACTATAATATTTTAGTTGTTTGACATTAGTGGCCCAAATTTAGTCTCGTTCTTGACAGAGACATTTCTAAGTGGTGTAGCATCAAATAACATTTATAGAGGCACCTTGTCTTTGATATACTTGGTCCAATACTTGACGCATCGCTGTGCAATCTACTGCACAATTAGGGGTATTTTGAGAGACACCTAAACACATTCTACATGCAAGATATTTCACTCTTACGTTTGCATAAACCCATTAACGTTTTTTTTTTTACATTTGTGAATATTAACAATTAATTTTAAAATCATGGTAGCACAGGGCCAATTTAGTCGTTTTCCTCTTTATAAATTTATTTTCTGCACTTGAAATACAACAATTTTAATCTTAGAAAAGTTAAGTCATTTTCACAAATCGCAAAAATATCTTAAACTATATCTTTAACGTTAGAGTAAATTCTAAATAGCATCCTTTTCCGCTCAAGAGTGTCAAATTCTTTTGAAAAATCCACAAAGCAAGTAAATACCCCCCTCCTCTATTTTGACAAATATTTCTGCACCACAGACTGTAAAGTAAAAACGTTATCAATTGTCGAATTGCCTTTTCTGAAAGTTGCTTGAACGTCGTCAGACGTATATTTAATAAAATGGATGTGCATATTTTACACAAATATACTTAGAAGTGAGATGCCCCTATAATCCGGTGAATCTGACTGACGAATCATGTTTAAACAAAGAAATGGTAATGGCTTCAGACCAACCCTCTGGATAAGAACTATTATCCAACATTTTATTAATTTAAAAGGACATATAAGTACAGTGTAGTATATAATCACTGGATGCTTGGAAAAACTCACTTATTAGACCGCGTGGTTCACCAGCTTGCCAATTTAAGGTTTATAATGCCGGGATGATAGGATATTTTGAGTAGTAATTTTTTTAAACGACAGTTTTTCGAAATTCGATCACCGGAAATCGTGTATTTTTATATATGATCTAACGATATTCCTTTTTAAACTGGCCTCAGCAAACACCACTGCCAGAGTTTGTATTAATCCGAGCCGTAGGCAACTTAATACAGAGTCACTACGTACCAAAAGGTCAGAAGTGTAAATGTGCCATCATAGTCCCAAATCCAACTAATTTGAGACTATGAGTGATGAAGCTACAATAACACAACGCCATTTCCAACAACATGTTAATCAGGTGTGCCAACGTGCTAAAAAGCTGTCTTTTCCCGTCTTTCGAAATTCGATCTCCGAAAATCATGTATTCTTATATACAATTTCTCTGAGATTGACGTCAATCGTCAGTAAACAACCAGCGCAGAGTTTTGTATTAATCCGAGCTGTAGGTGGAAACTGGTGCTATTCTGGCGGTAGTCAAGAGTGTCTTCTGACGTCAACATTAGAGGAAATATCATGGATTATATATTTCGCACGTGCATATGTTCATAGCCCGAAAAGGTAAAACGGTAATAACTTACATCAATCAGTGATAACAATGTGTGTTGGAATCATCTCAATGAAGACATGACTAAATCATTTGTATGAACACATACTGGAATTTATCGAGTCGTTCGCCGGCTCTTTCGTGCAGTAGCTACGGGAAGTTATACTGTCCAGTAACCGCAAGCGCAGCTTATATCCTATGACCACGAGACTGAACTGAACGGAACCACATCTAAAGCTACAAGTATCAAATGTTATTTTTGTACCTAATTTGTTCACCAGTAGTTTTGTGTACTGAAATGTATTACATATGTTACAATTATTATTTTATCATACGAAATCGTTGTTCTGACAGGCACGCGAATAATAAAATAAAGGTAAATCTTTCCAAACAGTCACATTAAAACAAGAAT